TGGCACTTTCCTGTGCGCTTATAGTTTTGTAAGCAGGCTAGAGATAGCCTAAAGGTAAAATCCACATTCCCCCATGCAATGCACGAGTAAAAGAACTTGGTGTGGGACTGAGAGATTCTCCCTGCATCAGCCCCACATCAGAGGTAGCACGTGCAACCGTTCCATATCACTGTGCCCCCACTACATGGTGTTCTGAACCAAGAGATCCACCGGCTCAACCCCCTCAGCCTTTCCCCGCCCCCTCGGAATGGAGGGCATGTGGCTGGCATGCCTGCAGAATGAGAGGTTCCCCTGCACAGCTGGCAGCCAGGAAAAGGGGTGTCTGAAGGCATTCAAGCCCTCTGCAAAAGCACAAGGGGTTGCTGCGTACGTAGGAAATGCCCACATCGCTGGATTCACTGCCAGTCTCCAACCAGGGAGCAGGTTTGGCTTTTCAGGCATCCTTGTCAGCAAGTGAAAAAAAGAGAATAAAATCTCCTACTGTGCCAAGAATTGAGTAATGACTCTTCTCTTTGGGCTTTATATCCCTCTGGGGAAAAGGAAAGGCAAGGAAATGCTTCCGCTGTTGAAGCTGGACTCTCACCTTTCCTGCCAAGTAAATGCCCGTTTTCACACTCTCTAGTATATGGACTAACCGCTTATGACTCAGAACCCCCTCTTCTTGGTAGCTATTATATGAGATCACCGCCCTGTCCCCCAAATTCATGAACACAGGAGTGCACAGCTGCAGTGGGGACACAATCAGGTGAAGGAGGAGCATTTTGAACAGTATAATCATCTCTTCATACATGGGTGAAATTCATCCCCATGCAGAGAGCTAGCGCATGGCATAAACACTGCTTAAGCCCAGTAGGCATAGACCTCGTGCTGGCCTTCTTCATAGTGGTAAATGTCATCTATGCATGAAAAAACCTTTAGGCCTGATCTGCACCTGGTTTTTGTACTGGTATCACTATGTCGCTTAGGGGTGGGATTTTTTTACCATTATACTGGTACAACCCCTCGTGTGGACACAGTTATACCAGTATAAAGGTGCCTTATACCTATAACGTTTATTCCCCTTCCCTTACTGGAATAAGCTACATCAGTATAAGCACTCTGATACCAGTAGCACTGCATAGATGCCAGGTACCAGTACCGCTTTAACTGATACAAAGTGGTGCAACTATTGTGTGTAAACAAAGCCTTAAAAACCACTGTGTGAAAAGGAGGCTGCCATAATTTATGGCAGGCCCTGGATAGTAGTAATGTACGTACCATTGATTTACATGACTTACATCTATTCTTTTTATGACTAGTTCCCCTAACAGCTGCTGCATGTTATGGGGCCTGTCTTACAAAACAGCTACAGAGGATCTCCTTATATAGCCCGGTTAAGTGTTGGGCAGCATTTAGCGGGTGGAGGTTGAGTCCATCTTTTTAGATGCAGGAGCATTTCTTTAACATTGTGGAACTCTGTTTCTTATTATCTTTTTAAATTCTTTTTCTTCATTTTAAAGCGGGGCGGGGGAGAGGAGGAAGCAAGAGATTGTAGTTGTCAGAACAGAAACATTTCAGAAATCAAGGCCAGATAAATTGGTTATGGTCATTTTTGTTTCCTTCTGATGTCTTTTCTGTGATCAGCCCTTATCGGACTGGGACACCTGTTAATTATAATTAGCTCAACTGAGAGCTGCATGGGCACGGCCAGAGAGCTTCATAAAATGCATAATTTGCATGACATGGAGCAGATTGCAGCCATCCACTTATATAATACAGAGCTGAGGTCTCTGGAGACTACAGATCCCAGCATGCAATTCTACAAATTGATGCACGTGGATGGCTGGGTTGAGAACATTCCATGCTGGGATCTGCAAGGTGCAGCTCCCTGTTAAAGATAAGGATGGCCACGGTCTGCTTTCTAGAACTCTGAGGGCCACATTTGACCTCCGGGCTATGCTTTGGGTCTCTTGTTTCAAGGACAGGCATTTTTCATCAATCCTGGTGACTCGCACACTTGAAGAGCAAGCTGCCTTCAGTGTCAGCTCCAGCCATTATAGCACTCTGCAAATGACTGAGTGATGAGGCTCCTCAAACAGCACTTCGCTTAGAAAAGCCCCGTCTCATAGGCGCTGAACTTTTCTCCGGGGGTGCTCCACTCCCACTCCACCCCAAGGCCCTGTCAACATTCCACCCCCTCCCCCAAGTCCCTGCCCTTGCTCCGCCTCATCCTGCTCCACCCCCTCCCAGAGGCTCCGCCCATTCCCCCCCGAGGCTCTGCTCACACACCATTCGCTGCTCTCTGCCTCCTGCAAGCCCCTTCCCGAGCCGCCAAACAGCTGTTTGGTGGCACCCTGATTAGCTGTGGCTGGTGGGTGCTGAGGACCCACTATTTTTTTTTCCAGCACTCACAGAATCGGCACCTATGCCCTGTCTTCATGTCTAATAGAGGTAAATGGGGCATTCCAAGAAAAAGCACAATCCTACCCTAAATAAACAAACCCTGCTGGAGATTTAGAGCTGCAAGGGCCATGACATACCTGGACCAATTTAGAAATCTGCTAATCCAATCAAAACACCAGCCAATCATGAGATTTCCCAGACCTTCTAGAATTCAGTGGGATCAGCTGGTGAATTGACTAATGGTGACAAATCCACTGAAATTAATGAGGCCAGTAGCCTGGCCGTTTACTGCCTGTGCTACAATCTAGGGATCTCAAACTCCTGGGTTGGCCGGGTGCTGGAGGCTCTGGAGTTGGAATGGAGGAAGCATCTTCTGCCATTCTCCAGCACTCTTCTGGCTATTAGAGGAATGGCATTGACATACTGGCTGGGAGGAACAGCTCTGGGAGCGTGAGGAGCTGGAAGGAGGGAGGTAAAAAAGCTTAAAGGCAACCTGCACTGAGGGAAAAAACTGGTTTATGTCTTTTTCTTTTAATTCTCTATAAGGTACAAATATGGCCTTGAGTGGTTTCCATTCCCTCCCCCCC